GGGCGGCAGGGAGGGCAGGGCGGGTGTCCGTCGCGGCGCGCTGCTTCCCTTAACGGCGTCCGACACGTACAACAGCCTCGGGCACCTGAGCTGCTCCCTGTGCTCCGCGCCCGTGAAGAGCGAACTGCTGTGGCAGACACACGTGCTGGGCAAGCAGCACCGAGAGGTGAGTGCCGGTGCTCGGCCGGAGCCCGGGCTCGGTCCTCGGTGCGGCGTTGTGGCTGGGCAGTAACAGGGGAGCGCGGGAAAAGGTCAAGGGTTTTAACGGGGCGGGGGGTTTGCTGCTCCTGCGTGCACAAACAGGCCCGGTTGTTTTCGTCAGGTGTCTGTTTCATTAAGGCCTGTGCAGGGATTGAAAGGCCAACACTTAAAAGGGGGTGCCCTGTCTTTCAAAGGCACCTGCTCTTAGGGTGAAGCAGTTCCCATTCCTTTAGCTGTAACTTGTCTGCAGGTCAAACTTGGAAACCCTCCTTGGGGTTGCTGTGGTACCTATGTGTTGTCAAGTGACATGTGGTTAAGAAAATGCACTTTTTGTTTTCCTCTTTGTAATTTAGCAGTAAAAATGAAGAATTTGTAAAGCAGTTCAGGGAGTTTATAACTTGGATGTGACCTTAAATCTGAGTGGGGTTTTTTTTATCCTTTTAAATTCTGCTGTTGCTTCTTAGTAGAAACTGAGAGATTGTGTTTAATTTTACAAGTACTGAGGAAAACACCAAAGGAACTGAAGAATTCCTAGTTCACTGCCTGTTTTCAGACTAGATAACTGTGGCAAGGCACAGTGATATGTCTTTAATGCTAGTGCTATATTTTAACTTTAAAACACTTAATATTCCAGGACCTTAGTCCAACCTTCCTGCTTTTTAGTTTTCTGTCTTACTGCTGTCAGTGCCACATTCTTTTCTTTCACCTGCAGCCTTCCTTGTGCAAGTGTCAGTTCCTGTTGCCTGGTGTCACATCATTCCAGAGGCTGACAGAAACATTGGTCTTTGTTTTGGTGTCTGTGGTATCTATTTCACTGATCTATTCTGGAAAGATATTAACTCACTTCAATAAGCTGTCCTAAAAGCAGTATGTTTTAAGCTGCAATCCAGAAGTTGCTGCTAGGAAAGAGTCCTGAATTTTTACTTTTTTTACAGAGAGTTGCAGAATTAAAAGGTACAAAGCAGACGACAACTGGTTCAGCTGCTGGCACATCGTCTCACCCTGTCAAGAGAAAATCTGTTGACACAGAAAATACAGAGATAAAGAGGGTAAAAGGTAAGGAGAGAATCATAGAATTTTAGGGGTTGGAATGGACCTTACAGATCATCTAGTCCCAGCCCCCCTGCCATGACCAGGGATCCCTTCCCACTAGACCAGGATGCTCAAAGCCTCATCCAGCCTGGCCTTGAACACTGCTAGGGCTGGGGCAGCCACTACCTCCCTGGGCAACCTGTTCCAGTGTTTCACCAGCCTTACAGTAAAAAACCTTTTCCTAATATGTAACCTAAATTTCCAGTCCTTCAGTTGAACCTGTTACCCTTTGTTCTGTCACTGGGGATCCCTTCCCACTAGACCAGGATGCTCAAAGCCTCATCCAGCCTGGCCTTGAACACTGCTAGGGCTGGGGCAGCCACTACCTCCCTGGGCAACCTGTTCCAGTGTTTCACCAGCCTTACAGTAAAAAACCTTTTCCTAATATGTAACCTAAATTTCCAGTCCTTCAGTTGAACCTGTTACCCTTTGTTCTGTCACTGGAGCTCCTAACAACCCTCTCCAGTCCAGCTCCCCTGTAGGCCCTTCAGATACTGATAGGCTGCTATGAGGTTTCCACACAACCTTCTCGTCTCCAAGCTGAATGGCCCCAGCTTCCTCAGCCTGTCTTCACAGGGAGCATAGATGCTGCAAAAAAACCCTCTTATCAAGCACTTGCTAGAATCTAGCCATTTTACATCTTGAATGTTTTTGGTTTGGTTTTTTTTCCTCTGGAAGTGAGAGTGAATACACAAGAGTGTTGTGTTAATATCAGCCCATTGCTGCTGAAAAGAGAAAAAGTCTATCTTGCTCTTTTTCCGTGGGTTTACTATCAGGAGAAAACTGTGGTTTTGGTAGTTTACCTAGTTTTCTTCCAGGTTATTGGCTTAAATTGGGTCAAGGAACTGTGGGCTTGACCCTAACAGAACCACAAACAGTGAGCAAAGCAGTAGAAGTGCTTGCCAAGAAGTGATGCTAGTCCTTTTCAGTGGGATCAAGTCACTGGTTTGCCTCAAACCACCCATCAAAGTTTTTGCTAAAGGAAAGGTAGTTGGTTTTTTCCCTTGGTGCTACTAGACATGTAAATACACGAAATACATGAATGTGCATTTGTGAACTTGTGGCTGTAGTAGGACTCTGAGGGATGTTTCCTGTAAAAGCATAGATTTTAAGAAGTGACTCTTGACTCTTACACAGGTACAGATGAAAAGCCACATACGTCTACATCTGGGTAAGTAGATCTTATCACATATGAGGTTTTTGTAACTGCCAGTGGCTGCATTCTCACCCAGTTCTTCCTCATCTATCCTTCCTAGCTGAGGATAAAGATTCAGAGAATCAGCAGATCCCAGCTGCTGCTCATTTTCTAATGGGAAATATTCCTGGACATGGCAGCATCTTCCTCAGTGCAGATGAGAAAATCATATCAACCCTTAGAGTCTCTGAGAAGACAGAATTCATTTACTGTCACTATCAGACATTTAAGGATTAACATGCAGTGGTGTTACACAGTTTGCTGGCATGAACTTAACTAGATGTGACATGCACACTCATCTTTAGTGCTAGCACACTGCTGAAGACGTGGTAGTCTGAAATGAAGACAAATTTTGACTGTATAATTAAATGATATTTATTCACAAAAACTACTAACAAACATCATCAACAGATCTTTGTTAAGATGGTTTTTGTCACTTAATGTAAATGCATATCCTGCAGTTAAACTCTCAGAACTATAGGACTGTATTTAATTTCAAGGAATTGGGTTAAGCATCTTAACTGGCACTAAAAATTTGACAGTATCTGGACATCTTTGTGGGGTTGGTAGATTTCACATGAGACCTGCAGGTTTTCGATACAGTTCTTCACAGGATAAATTACCTTGCATAGATATTACGTGCCGTTACCCTGTAGAAATCTAGAGTTTGTGTGCAAAGTTAGCACCTGAGAGCTTTGTTCATTTTTTACTCATTGGTATGATTAGTTTAATCTGGAAAAGTGTTTGGCTTGAAGGCCTGAGGCTATTCCAAGCAAATCTGGGTTTTCTCATTGCTGAGCCTGTGTGGCTGTTCTGAGCTGCAGGTCTGGGCAGCAGTAGGTACCCAAAAAAAGTAGTTGTGATGCAAATTACTTTGTATGTGAAAAAAAGAATTACTTAAAATGCAATTTGTTATGGGTTATTTTTATTACTGTTTCGGATACTGAATATTTAAGTAGAAAAAGGGAACTGGAATGTGCTTTTAGAATTAACCTGAGCATTTTTGGGGAGCTTAAAACAAAAGCCCCAAGCATGTGCTGCCTTCAGACAGTGGCTGCATTGGCAGCTGTGCAGGTTAGGGCTTTGCACTGGATCTAACTGCTCCTGTGGCTCATAGAGTAACTAAGCTTCAAGTACTAGACCGGAACTGATTTTTATGAAGTTTGAAGTAATTATATTGTGGGCTCTTTACTAGGCTGCCAGCAGATTTTTTTGATGAAGCAGAGCAAGACAGTGCCAATGTACAGCTTTCAAAGGGTCCCAGTTTATTGTCAGGAAATTATGATGATGATGATGAAGAAGAGGAGGAACAGGAACAGTCAAGCAAATCTTCCGTGACGCATAAAACTGAAATTCCACCTCCAACTCAAGAAGTGATAGCTAATTCTCTGCCTCCAGGTAATGCTGAATGAAATAGTAAGTGGTTCAGTAAGGATAAGCTGTGTTTCAACTGGTGATGAAAGGGTTTTCATTATCTGGTTAGGGTGTGTAATACTGGAAGTAGAGAAACAAGATTCTTTGCTAGTTTATTACTGTGTGGTGGTTTTTCAGTGTGCTTGTTGATTTTATGTTCTAATTGATTTGTTTGAAGCTGCCAAATAAAATAATGTCTGGCTGTTCTCCGCTTGATTCAGTAAGGTATTAATTGAAATTCCTGTCTAGACAGAATTTTATCAAATTCTTGAACAGCTGTTCCTTTTGTCATAGACTTATGTCTTTTCCTATAGACTTCTTTGACAGCAAAGTTCCAGCTGCTCCTGTAGTTTCCCATTCAGGATCCATACAGAAAGCAGAGATACAAGAGAAGGTAGTAGAAAGGTAAGCAATCAAATCAAATATTGATAGTTTTAGGAATTATAAATAAATGTTACTCTTCCAGGAAATGTAGGCTGTGATCACTTAGAAATCTGTCATACTGTTAAGTTGCATTCAGAATAGTTTGTATATATGTCAGCCTCTAGCATTGTTTCAGACAGTTGTTTTGCATCCTAGGGACAGGGTAAGAGATGGAGCAGTGCCACAGAGTGTCTGTTAGACATCTCTATTTGCAGATTTTAACACAGGGTACTTTGGAAGCTTAAAGTCAACCACTGCCTTTCACTTACTAAAGAAAACTGTTTGCTTGTTCTGTAGTAATGGCTCAGCTCACTTGAGCACTTTTTTAGACAGTGGATTAGTCTTTCAGAATTAGTGACTGTGCTATTAAAATGTTTGGGTGCTCAGCATGCTGGAAGGAACAGCTTAAGAAACCTAAGCTATAGCTCTTGTTTTGACAGTGAGATTTAAACCTTTCTGTGCAGTTCCTTGTAAGTTAGGTAAGACCAAGCTGAAGAAGGAAGTCTTAATGGTTGTAGGTAAAACTCAGAGCTTAAAAAACTTGCTCTATTTCTAGGTCCTTGTATAAAGGATTATGGATTTTATTCTTGACTATTTTTAACTATGCAGTAAAGCAGATTGTAAAGTGTTAACTTGGGTTAATAGTAATCAAATATTTCAGGAAGGAAAACACTGCTGAAGCTTTGCCAGAAGGTTTCTTTGATGATCCTGAAGTGGATGCAAAAGTAAGTGATCTACTCTTTTTATGCTCCTGAATTTCCCTCTGCCAGATGTAATGATTTTCTGAGTAGTAAGGATGCTTTGCCAGGTAATCTGTCATGCTGGAATATAAGAAAATGACTAATCTATTTAGACTAGAATAGACTGTCTCAGTTGGAAGGGACCTACATCTAGTCCAACTGCCTGACCATTTCAGGGCTGACCAGAAGTTAAAGCCTGTTAAGGGCATTGTCTGAATGCCTCTTAAACACTGACAGCTTCGGGCATCGACCACCTCTCCAGTGTTTGACCACCTTCTTGGTAAAGAAATGCTTCCTAATGTCCAGCCTGAACCTCCCCTGGTGCAGTTTTGAACATTCATTCTGTATCAGTTAGAAAACATGAAGAGGCATGGAGGTGGGCAGGAAGAGCTTGTTAAATTATCTCTTGGAAGGTATTTTTGACTGTGGTTCCTTTATGACTCTTAAAGAAATGTTACTTGTTGGTCAAAATGCTGGGCTGAGATTTGGTCAGTCTACCTTTATTTATTGATTTGAGTCATCCCAGGAGAAGCGTTTCACCTAATATGTATGTTGAATTTTACTTTGGAATTGGGGATATAAAAACAGTTCTCTAATGTCCTTTGAGAGATTCTGTTGAAAAGTGACTGATACATCCTAACATCCTGTTAGAATGCAGATAGATAGATTATGACATACACTGTGACCTGTAGTACTGGCATACTACAACAGTGAACTTGGTCTTCAGCCTTCTTGTCTTTTACCCCTCTGGGGCTTTTTTTTTGAAAAGAGAAGAAATGTGGATATTTAACTCATTCCTCAAAAAACAAACCTCACAAATAAAAATCTTGAATTTGTGACCAAAATCATTCATACTTCCTTCAACTTGCACAGTGCCAAATGATGACCAAAACAAACACTGATATTTGAAATACAACTCTTTTTTTGTTTTGGTTTTTAAAATTTGCCGGAGATTTGATGATTTTCATGCTTTCTTTATTGAAATGATAGTGTTGTGGGCTCAAGTCCTTTTTATTTTCCTTGAGTGTATTTCCCTGTTCACACAGTGGAAGGCTGCTGGTCTATTTAAATTGGATTGTGAGGTCAAGCCATGACTTCTAATTTGGAGACTATCTTCAGTTAGTTCCACTGTCCCAGTTAACAAGCTCAGGTGTCTTTTTTGCTCTGGCAAGATTCTTCTGGCACCACTCATGGCCACATGTTGTCATATGTGAATAGTTTTGAATAATGATGTTCTGAATATTGAATTTTTTGTTTGTGTTGGTTGTTTGGTTTTCTCAGGGGCTTTTTTTGTTTCGGGGTTTTCTTTTTTGTTTGCATATGACTAATTGGAGTGTTACATTTGTTTCACCATG